AGACAAATGCGCGAGGAAAAGCACTTCTAGAAGCTTTCTCTACACTAGATGTAGTCCAGCTCAACAGTGGTGATACGCCAACCTATACTAAAGGAAAAGCAAGCTCTATAGTAGATCTCACTTTCGTCAGCAGCAGCTTTATCAGTGGGAAATACGACTGGAAGGTGATGGATACCTACACAGCCAGTGACCACAAGGCAATTCTCTGGGAAATATCACATGACCGGAATACAAGAAGACCAACCAAGTCACTCAATACCATTGGATGGAAAGTGAAGTCTCTTGACACAAGCACATTGGTAATAGCCCTTAATAGTGAACCGATTACTACTGGATCCGCAGAAGAAATGACCAAGGACCTGATGAAAAGAGTTGTCCAGGCCTGTGACGCCAGTATGGTCCGGAAACACAGCATAAGCCAACGCCCGGCAGTACACTGGTGGAACGACCACATTAGTATTCTTCGGAAAGAGTGTCTAAAGAAAAGAAGAATATCCCAGGGCTAGTCTCGCACGACTGATGCCGAACGTCGGAGGCCCAAAGCAGAGCAGGAGGCTATTACTGTCATCAGTAGTCACATCGGTGCTCACTTACGGAATATCCATTTGGGCCGACGCATTAAAGACGCAAGAATCATGGAGAAAGGCTGGACCAGTATATCGACTGAGTGCCCTACGAGTAGCTAGCGCCTTTTGCACAATATCAGAGGAAGCAGTGTGTGTTATTTCCGGTACTCTGCCTCTCAGAGTCCTAGCTGAGGAAAGACGGAACCTATATCAACGAAAAAGGTCAACCACACTGAGCCCTGAAGAACTTAGAAACGAAGAACGGCAACACAGCATCGCAAGATGGCAACAAGAGTGGAATGCTTCAGATAAGGGTCGGTGGACGTACCGTCTCATACTTCGGGTTGATGTGTGGTTCAACCGGAGTCACGGTGAGATCAACTATTATTCAACGCAGATGTTATCAGGACACGGATGTTACCGGAAGTATCTCCACCGCTTTAAGCACGATGATACCCCAGAGTGCCCGTCCTGTCCAGGGGTCAATGAAGATGCGGAGCATGTCTTCTTTGTGTGTCCACGTTTCAACCAACAGCGCAATGAGTTAGAGAAGATTCTGAAGAAGAGAACCCAACCAGAGTCAATAGTAAAGGCAATGTTGTCGTCAGAAGCTGCTTGGAACGCCACAAGCATTTTTGTTACAAAAGTGCTTACCGAGTAGCGATCCATTGAGAGGAAAAGAGCGAAAGACCGAACCTAGAAGGAAGAAATAACATCGTAGCCACCAGAAGGAAGAGCGGCAGCTAATTCCTCCCCCCGCGAAGAAATGCCTTACGGCGGTACCATGGGGGATCAGAGGATAGAAGAGAAAGTGGTTTAGGGTTTAGTGGGTAGGGGCGTCAGCGTCGAGTTTTAGTATGACGCTGCGTCGAGTCGCCACATATCCAGGCCAACAGCTATGCCTAGAATCCGTAAAAAGGATTCCCCCCCCCCCAAAAAAAAAACACACACACACACACACACACGCGCGCACCTGTCAGTTTGCGGCACCAGACAGAAGCAGGTGTTGCTACAAATGTGGCGGAGAGAACGACAAGGCCGTAAACTGCACGGAGAAGCTAAAATGCTTCCTTTGTGCTCCAGGCAAAGATGCTCAGGATTGTTTATGCCACATTTCTGGCACTGGAGTCTGCAAGGCATTTCGCACAGCACTTGCAGAAGCCACGAGAGGGCAGAAATGACACGCATACTACAAGGCAACCTGAATGGGTGCACCTTGGTAAAAAACCTGCTGCGCCAACGTGTCTTTGAAGATAAAATCGACGTCTGCTTTATCTGCAAGCAATATCTAAACATCGAAGGTAAAACATGGTTCGCAGACGAAACTGGCACGGCAGCGATTTGGATTGTGAACACAAAGAACGTTACCGTCAACAACAGCGGAAGTGGAGCAGGTTTTGTCTGGATTCAAACCCCCACAACCTGCTTCATGAGCGTCTATCTCTCACCTAATGAAGGGATCAGTGTGTTCCGACAGAAACTGGCACATATAGAAGATGCGGTCAGTAAGTTCGACGGCGAAGTCATCGTAGCCGGAGACTTCAACGCTAAATCGGCTGAGTGGGGCGCTGCTTTCTCCGACACCAGAGGAAACGAGGTCGCCGACGTCGCGGCTAGACTCGACCTCATAGTGTTGAACATCGGGAGCACCACGACCTCTAGAAGGCCAGGGAACCAAGAATCCATCCTCGACATTTCGTTGGCGACTCCAAAGACTGCCAGCATGATCGAAGACTGGACTGTATCCAAAGAATACAGTGGCAGTGATCACCAGTTCGTGACATTCAACGTTGGATTGGCATCTGCCCCGGTTTCACAACGCAACCTTTCTAAGCGGAAGTGGAATGCCAGGAGGCGTGATTCGGAGGCACTGCGAGCTTCACTTGCACGAAGCTAGTCTACTTTTCAGAACAACCCGACTCCGGATACCTGCAGCGAGACGGAAAAGGCAGTGCTAAACACGATGAAGGAGATTGCTGCTACATGTGCCGCTTCTATGCCGCGGCTGAAAAATCGGAGTTTCCACAGACTGGCGTACTGGTGGTCACCAGACATAGCAGAACTCCGGAAAAAATGCCACAAACTACGCCAGCTAGCAACGAGAGCTGCGAAACGCTCCCCCAATCAAGATCTACTTTCGAGCGAGTATAAGCAGGCCAAAAAAAACCTAAACCGGGCAATCAAAGCAAGCAAAGCGAAATTGTGGCAAGAGATCTGTAATGACCTAGATAAAGACATCTGGGGTAAACCCTACCAAATTGTCATCAAACGACTTGGAAAAGCTTCACCAGAAGCGCCGAAACCAACTGCTTTAATGAGCAGCATCGTAGCGGAACTGTTCTCCAAACATTAACCAAGGGAAAGAAGACATTACGTGAAAAATAGTGTAACATTTTTCAGAACCAAGGAGTTACAGGATGCAGCGAAGACCCTCAGGACAAGAAAGGCACCCGGCCCTGATGGCATCTCAGCATCGGTGATCAAGACTGTAGCCCTGGAATACCCAGACATACTCCTGAACACCTACAACGCATGCTTGGTAACTGGCACGTTTCCCGCGGTCTGGAGGCAGCAGAGATTGGTTCTGCTAGATAAAGGCAAAGGTGGCCCTGTAACACCCTCGTCGTTCAGACCACTTTGCATGCTGGACATTGCTGGGAAATTGCTCGAAAAGCTTATACAGAAAAGACTACGAAACGACATCGATCGTGCTGGAGGCTTTGCCGCAAACCAACATGGTTTTCGGAAAGGACGTTCAACAGTCGGCACGATTCAGAAAGTCGTAGGGACAGCGAGAGAAGCATGGACTGGTAGCCTCAAAGCTCGTAAAGTATGCATTCTCCTCACGCTAGATGTCAAAAACGCATTTAACAGTGCGAATTGGGGAGATATCCTAGACGCTCTGGAACACAAATTTGACGCAAAGCCAGATAATTTGGCACTAATCGACAAGGTTCCACGATTTTTGATCCCCCGACAAAATATCCCCGGACAAAATATGGTTTTTCTGAAATAATAATTATAAATTATTATAAATTTATAATTTATAATTTAATAATTATAATAAATTTATAATAATTTATAATTATTATTTCAGAAAAACCATATTTTGTCCGGGGATATTTTGTCGGGGGATCAAAACGCCTGATACCAATCGACAACTACCTTGAAGAAAGAAAGCTAATAGCGGAAACTACAGAAGGACCACAAGAATACACCATAACGGCTGGCGGGCCGCAAGGCTCAATAATGGGGCCCGATTTATGGAACGCGGACTATGACGAGCTTCTTAAGATTCCGCTACCAAAGCAAGTAGAGCTAACGGGCTTTGCAGACAATGTTGCGGCCACTATAGTAGTGGACAACGTAGAAGAGGCCGAACTGCTAGTTCGGGAAACTATTGATGCCGTCGAGACTTGGCTCGATAAACACCACCTAAAACTCGCCAAGCACAAAACTGAGATGGTCGTTCTGACTCTTCAAAAATGGTTCCCAAAACCATTTGCTGTGGACATGGGAGAAACAACACTCACATCAACAAGGGCCCTGCGCTATCTGGGGGTAATGATAGACGAGAAACTATCTTTCCGCGAATACCTCGATAATGCATGCCAGAAAGCCAGCAAGACGGTGTCTAGCCTAGCAAGAATTATGACGAACATTATGGGATCAAGAGCCAAAAAGAGGAGAGTCCTTCTGGAAGCAGTCCATTCGGTACTGCTTTATGGAGCAGAAACATGGGCATATATATTAAAGCAAAAGACCTACCGGCAGAAAATGGCAGCATTGCAGCGGCGAGGCGCTCTCAGAGTTGCCTGCGCCTACTGCACGGTTTCCGAAGCGGCTGTATTGGTCATTGCGGGAGCTGCGCCCATCGACCTACTAGCGTTCGAGAGAGCAAGACTCTACGACGCTAAAATCAGTGGCGAAAACATGAAAGAGGCAAGAACGATGATAAAAACGGAAACGCAGCAAGAGTGGCAGGACCGATGGACTTCGGGAGAGACGGGCAGATGGACAGCGCGTCTGATCCCAAACATCAACGTCTGGCTTTCTCGAAAGCACGGGGACACGGACTTCTTCCTGACCCAGCTATTGACGGGACATGGGCAGTTCAATGCCTATCTTTTCAAGATGGGTTTGCACAGCACACCAACGTGCAAATACTGCCCAGACAAAATTGACAAGGCCGAGCACACCTTTTTCGAGTGTTATCGGTGGAAGGACGACAAAATCAGCACCGAAGAAACAATAGGCACAACGCTCTCCCCTGAGAGCTTGGTAACCTACATGATCAAAAAAGAAAAGAACTGGTCAGCTGTCGCAGCCTACGCGCAGCGCCTTTGAAAAGAAAAACCGCAGAAAGGGATTAGAAACCAGTAGTAACAAGAAGTAGGTGTCGTGAGAACCAACATGGACTGGATCGAAGTAATGCTAACGCGGTCCCGATCCAGTCTTCCCTGTAACATCTATGGGGAAAGGAGAGAGGAGGATGTTTAGTCGGTATTGTTGCAAAATAATATTGACTTCTGAGTCCGACATACCCAGGCACCAACACCTAGCCCTGGCACCAACACCAAGTCCTTGCATACGTAAATGTATTTTACCACCTCTATAAAAAAAAAATGGTATGTGTACTTATGTACACGCGTTAGAAGTTATACTTCTTTGGCACATAATAAAAAAAATTTTAAAGAAAAAAAATGCAAAAATGATCGAAGGAAAATGTTAAAAAAATTTAAATAGGTTTTATTATAGTAAAAATTTAGTTATACCGTATAAATATAAAATCATTAATTATCATATGAATTTAATTCAATATTATTTAAGATTTTTCTAAATCTACTAATTTTGAAGCTGCGAAGTATCAATAGTTTACAATCGATCGTTATAAAATATTTCAATTATCATGAAAATTAAGTTAGCTGACATATAACAATTTATAGAATTTTTTTTATTAAAAAAATGATTACAACAAAATAAAAAAAAAATTTTCACTTGTAAAAAAACTTCAAAAACTGTAAGTGCAATTTTTAACAAATATTTTTTTTGTTCTAATTTAATTATTAAAAATAAAATCAAAAAACACCAAAATGATATTTATTTATTCACGCTGTTTAATCTACAACCCATTCAATAATAGCCATTTCTTGTCGAGTTATAAAATTCATAAACAAAAGTGACATTTGACTTAAAATAATCAATCTTAAATCTTCAATATTAGTGAAATGGTGAGGTTTACGGAAAAAACATAAGATACCTTTTTTGTAGAGCATTAAATTTCCTACAAAATTCTTAAAAAAATTTTTTCTGTACGACCAATTAATGATGAGGAATGAATTTTTTTCTATTGGACTGAGAAAAAAATGAAAAACTGCGACGCGGAGGATCTTCCTATTAAAATTAAGAGTTCATATTTGGTGAGAATTTTTTTAAGGTGCCTAGTAACCCATTTTTCCGTATTAATTGTAAAAAAAAAAATAGTTGATTTTTTTGACCCACCCTAATATATATATAAATACATTATATATTTTCTGACTCAGCTCGACAAACTGAGTCAGAAAATGACAAAATTTTTTGAAAGTTGCGCCATGAGGACGGCTGCAATAGTTAGATTTTTATGAAATCTACTAAAAAAAATTTTACAATATCGTTTAATAATGCCTAAATTAACGAAACTTTTCCCATTTAATTAACATGGGATTTTCGCACTTTTTAGCAAATAATTTTTATTTCGCTCATTATACTCTTTAACTTACCAACAATGCTCAATTCTGCTTCTATTATGATCCCTTTAGATAGAGAAATTTTCATATTGGCGCAAAAAATTTATCACGTAACCTTTGGAAAAGTCAAAATTTATTTTTATTGATTTTTTTGGTTATTTTGCTTAAACTACTTACTAATTAATTTTTATTCTAAATTTCGTGTAAGATATTTCATTTTAAACTCTCAATAATCGTACAGGTTATAAATGTAAATTTTAACACACATATCATTGTTGATTTTATTTTAATACATATGTTAATTATTGAACTTTCATCTTTTCTGTCAGGCATTCCTTAGTAGCATTTGGAAATTCGTTTTTATACTCTTTTATCATCTGGAGAAGATACTGTTTTTGATTCTCATCCTTAGCTAATATATTTATATATTCTTGAGTCAATTGTACAGTTCTCTCTGCTACATCATTAACAACTTTAATCTTCATAGCAATCTCTAATCCTTTTAAAGTATTGCAATTTACAAAGTAATCAATTTCTTTAGTTTGTAAATTTTTTATATCATTATCATTGTTTAAAAAATACTTTTTGGGACAACCAAATTCATAAGCCGTATCCAAGGTCAACGCTTTGACCATTTTGCGTTTGATATGGACTGATATATTTTTATTAAAAAATGAGAGTGCCACTACTTCTGGGCTCAAGTACCATAAATGGCTTCTCATTTTTAACTTCCCGCTAAAAATCTCATATTTTCAAAAATCGGGAAGTTATTGTTTTCACCCCGTTTTACAAAAATCGAGTTTTCATCAGATCTCGACGTTTGAAGGTCACAGGAAGCTTCCCTGATTATTTTTACGATGATGTCCGTACGTCTGTATGTGTGTGTGTGTGTGTGTAAACCTCTCGTAACTTTTGAATGACTTGACCGATTTCATCGCGGTTGGTGTCATTCGAAAGGGCTTCACTAAACTTAGATTTCCTGAAAATTTGAACCGATTCGGACCGATAGATTTCGAAAAAATCCAAAAAAAAGTGAAAAAAAAGTTGTTTTTTTTTTCATTTTTTTTAAATATCTCCGAATTGGCTGAACCGATCGGTCTCAAAAACTAATCAGCTCTTAACCATGAAAACCCCCATGGATCGCTACCAAAAACGTCAGAATCGGTTGATGCGTTCGTCAGATATCGTTGTCGAAAAAAATCGAAAAAAGTGTTTTTTTGTAATATCTTCGAAATTCATGGCTCGATCGATTTAAATTTGAAAATTTTTCATGGAGCTTCAGAAACTGCGTCGATTGCCGCCAACCGCGTGAAAATTGGTTCATTCATTCGAAAGTTATAGCAGTTTGAAAATTAAAAAAATCGTGTTTTATCAAACTTTGATAAGATTTTTGAGCTCGAAGAGCTCAAAAGCTTGAAACAGCTACTTTTTTATAGAGCTCAAAAAACTACATCGATTGCCGCCAACCACCTGAAAATCGGTTCATTCATTCAAAAGTTATTGCCGTTAGAAAATTTCAAAAATTGTGTCTTTAAACTGCTATTAGAGTATTGAGCTCGAAGAGCTCAAATTGACATAAAAACAATATTTTTGAGCTCAAAGAGCTCAAAAACGTAATGTGTAGTTTGAAGCGTTTAAGTACTAAATGAGCGGGAAGTTGCAGGGATGGCCTTTAAGGTGAACCGTTTTTCTAATTTTTTTTTTAGACATTTTCAGATCAACACTTATCAATAGTTTTATAAGCATAAACTGCTTTCAAAAATTGCAAATCTTGGTTCGGAGCCGTTATAGCAAGAGGTGCTGCATACCAAAATCTCACATCTATAAATACCACGAATAAACAAACGTCCAAAAAACTTTTTTCTTCTCCTGGTGATAGTTCGAAAGCATCTCGAAAAATGTAAATTTTTAATGAGTAAATGGCTTTCGACATCCAGCGAGCGTGATGGAAAGCTCTAGGTTTATGAAAATGAACATTTTGATGGTCGACAGTACCAAGAAATATTCGGGACAATTCAAGAAGCTCTTTGTAATCGTCGCGGGGTAAAACCGTATCTAATAAATTTTGGATGTTTTGATCTATTTTGTCAACTTGATTAATCAATTTTTTATGAATTTTATTTCCCTCTAATCCATCTTAAAATTTATTTTTATTTATTGTATTCCAAAAACTCTGAAACTATTTAAACAAAGGGACATTTGGTCCAGTAGTACCTAGTAACTTTGAAGTAAAAACACTCGTAAGAGTTAACTCATATATGTGATGTCGACACGGTAGCCATAATAAATCTGTTTCCAGCATTTGTTCCAATAATACTGCGGCTCCATTATTGCAACCTAGATTAGAAGCAGTTGTATCGCAACACAGTGCCTTGATAGATTCGGTTAAGCTCAAATTATTAAGAACACTATAAATTTCTTCAGCTGCAGTAAGCGGGACGTCACCAAATAATTTTTGAATTTTTAAAGCTTTTTGCTCTCGAATTTTTTTTCGCTGTTCATTAAATGATGTTTTGTTCAAAATTAGATTATTGGTATCTAATTCTAACGCTTTAGATATTGAAGATATAATACGGACGGAATTTCTACTAGAGACTTTACAATTATCCAGTGTAGCGACAACGTTCTCTGTCATAATATTAATAGTTCCTCTCTCGTCCTTCTGATTATAATATCTTCCACCTGGCTCGAATTCTGATCCTTGATTTGGTGGTGAAGAAAAAGTTAATGCTTCCCCACTAGACGTTGCTCCACCCGCGATTGTCAAACTCAACGGCAAATAGTTTTCTGAAAGAAAATCAATCATGTTTTATTGTTAAATTAATGCACTTAATAGATAATTCAACGCAATGATTGAGTTCAAGTCTAATACCTGAATTTTCTCTTGATAATTCAGAATCGTTTAACTGGTGTTCTACATTACAAGATGCTGCTTCAATGTTTTCAGAGGTTAACACTTCGATGGAACGATCATCATTTACAACAAGTGGATTATCAGAAGTTGATACTTCAGAAGGGCGAGCATCATCCTGTTTCTCTGAAATACAATATATATTGAATATTAAGTCACATAAAAAAGTAAATTCAAGTATTTTATGAACATTTCATTTATTAATTAACTAATATTTTATTGATATTACCAAATAACTCAATTGCATTTCCTCGTTGACTACCCGAAAAATTCAGATGAAATTGTCTTTCCGATCGTTGATCGATTAAAAAGTTTTTTATATCATTGCTGACCATTTCAAAACTCTACCGTGAGCTATGTCAAATAAACTTTCTAATTTGATTGAAAACCCTTGTTCTTTTTGTTGGTTCGATGACACACCTGCATTTTTATGCACATTTCTGTATTCATCATGCAATTTTTGAATGCATCGTTTGTCATCTAATGTAAAAATCCCAGCAAATATCCAAAATTTTTTAACTTTTTCAATAGTAATTTTACATCCATCGTAGACTGTTGTTTTCATGTTTTTAGTATGATAAAATAGTTACCTTAAAACTTGTTTATTAGTAGGTAATTTATTACTATTTATATCATCCGTAAGGTTCTCTAATAAAAACATCGGTTTTCGTAAATTTTTTTCTGAACTCATGATGAAAGTTCTTAATTTTCAATAAATTGGAGCTCTCGAGGTTAGAAAAATATTTTTTAGTTGGATACCGATTAATTTTTTCACTTTCAATTCATTGCATTAGTCACTTCAACTTAACAATTAAAAATTCAATATTACATTAATTAAGAATTTTACCGTTTATTATCCAAAAATGAAATATTGTTGTCAAAAAAACCACAACAACCAGAATAGACAATGAGTAAAAAATTATTTTATTGTTTTTTTTTCACTTTAACAACCGTCCGCTAGGGGGCCACGTATCCAATACATCTGTTTCTTTTATTTATTTTGTGTTGGTAAAAACTGTACTACCGTACTTTAATTTGAACTATAGTTCCTTTTTAGAATCACTGTGTGACTTCCAGATAATTTATGAATTTAAATTATTTTTTTGGAAGCAGAAAATGAGAAACTTTAAATGAAATACAGAATAAAAATTAATTAGTAAGTATTTTAAGCAAAATAACTAGAAAAATCAATAAAAATAAATTTTGACCTTCCCAAAGGTTATGTGATAAATTTTTTGCGCCAATACAAAAATTTCTCCAGCAAAAGGGATCATAATAGAAGCAGAATTGAGCAATGTTTGTAAGTTAAAGAGTATAATGAGCAAAATAAAAATTATTTACTAAAAAGTGTAATAATCCCATGTTAATTAAATGGAAAAAGTATCGTTATTTAGGCAAGGTTAAACAGTATCTTAAAATTTTTTTTTGTTTCTGAAATTGTTATTAGGTCATAAAGAAACGATTTTGACAATACCCAAGTCGAAATAGCCAACTTGGTAAATAACGGACACCCTACTGTATATATAGGTCGCTAGTATTTATCATTGATTTTTAGGAATGACATAGTCGAATTCCTTATTACTGCTTTCAATCAAATCTTAGTGACAAAGACACTGATCGTAAATCATGCAACTTAGAAATCTTCAAAGTAAGATAATTTTATTTTGAAAAAATATAAATCTGTACATTCTTTTGCAAGTTAAGAATTTGTTCACAGAAAAACGTTAATGATCCTAGTCGAATTTCTTTGCACCCTTGGTAAGACAAAAAAAAGTAAACAAGACGGAGCTGGTTCATCATTCAGTGAAATGGCAACAGATTGCCGCGGAAAATATGAAAGAAAAAAGAAACAAATTCAATATGAGATAAAAATATTAGCATTAATATAAAAATATTGAAAAAACGTATTTTATATTTGCACAAAGAATGATACGAAGAAGCATTGGGTATGAAGGACTCAATAGAATTTTTCAGCCAGACAAAAATATATATACTCGGATATATACGCAGTATATATACTCGGATATATACCCCGTATATATACGAGTATATATATTATTTTTGTGGGGGTATATAAACGTTTAAACCATATGCATTTTCTGAATCCGCTTGACGAGCTGAGTCTAAATATAGCAAAATTTTTCAAAAGTTCCGTCATGAGGACCAATGCAATAGTTAGATTTCTATGAAATCTACTAATAATGACAAAATCAATAAAAAGTAGGATAGTAAATAAAAAATGAGTAAAATGTTTTTCGTAGGACTGGTAATTGAAATAAATTGTATTATCAATAAAATAGACACTCCCGTAATAAATAATCCCATTGAGTGGTCACGAAAAATCACCCTGTCTAGGTTAATTATTCAACCGTGCATTATTCAATTAACAAATTAAAATACCGGTGAGTTATGACTCATGATCGTGATCATAAATTATGAAAAAAAAGATAAATAATTTATTTAATTATTTAAGAATTAAAAGTGATAAGTGATAACGATAATTTTATTTAGGCAATAGGCAGGTACATATTACGGACAGAATCTCATTGATGATGAAAAAAATTAAAAGTTAATTGTAAATAAATACGAATTAAAAGCACACGTGTGGCAATCAACTGCTTGCTGCTGAGTGATCAATTGAACTGCTTACGTTTAATCAATACCATAATTTGAATTTTCATGCGTGTGTGTAAATGTGTATAAGCTTATTATCAAGCTTTATTATGTGTATAAGTGTATTATCAATAGATGCAGGAAATTGATAACCATTAGAAGAAGATTGTGAATAGGGGAGGGTGGGGCAGAGCGGCCCCCCTAAGTCGTTTTTTTCTTTTTGTGGCTTTTAACCATCAAATTCCTTTATTTTCCGTTTATTTCGAATGAATCAGTCGAAATTTTGTCGAAAATCGAAAAAAAAAATTTTTTTTTCCTGGGGCACAACGGCCCCCTCCCTAAAAATCTAAAGATTCTTCTTTATTCTAACCAAATCTAAAGATTCTTCTCCCAGAAAACGTCGTCGAGGGAAAACCACGATTCTTACGAGTCTTGAGTATCCCCGAGAACTCAAAGAAAAAGAAAATCAAAATGAAGGAAAAAAAAAAGTCCTGAGTTGAACAAAAAAAAAATAAAACTAAAACCAAAGAATTAAAAAAAAAAAATTCAAAATATGAAAAAGATGATGGCCATTGTCTTTAGTGCAATAGACTTTACTCAGAATCCACAGAGTCATGGATTCAGTGTAAAACTTGTAATAAATAGTCTCATAATTCTTGTGCAAGAATTGGTGAAGATTATTCTGACGAATCTGTCTGTGATCATTGCGAATAATCGTATATTCATTAAATTATCTCGATGTGATTTCATAATTATCAAACATTTATGTTTTATATTTTATTCCAAAAGTTTAATTTTTGTCAACGTTTGATAAAAAAAATTATTATAAATTTTTTTGTTAAGCTGTTAATTAGTTTTGAATAGATAATAATTAATAATATAATTAATTCTTTTTATTGCACTTAAAGGTTTAAAACCTACGTACAAGAAAATAAAAACAGAGATGTTATTTAGTAATGAATTGGTTACATTAGTTTACATTGATTGGAATCACATGTTGAGTTTTCAGATTGAGCTTTTAAAATACGTAATATCTTGAACCAGACTTTTTTTTTTATATATTTTTATTAATTCAAAATTAAAAATATGAATCGCGTAGAGTAAGACGTCTTTAGAGAAAGTCCTCGGCTTCGCCTCGGTTGACTATAACATGTGATCTGAGCCATGCCTTATTTTCCCTCTCTAGGGCTAGAATCTACTATTTTCGAAAATGGAAAAAATAAATTTTACCGAATTTATGAGAAGGGCTGTTATGCTCCTGCGAGCCGTCATGTTCCACTCTCCCCTGACCCCTTTATAGTATAGTTCGCGTTAAATTTTTCGGGTCAATTAAATTTTTTCTAATTTATTTTACCCCAAATTTATCGCAATTCGAAAAAATGAAACTTTTTTTTCGTTGCAATTTCTTCTTCACGAGGTCCATTATGCCCCACATATCCCATATTGGCCCAAAATATCATAAAAACATTATAGAGGTCATAACTTGACAGAAAGTGAAAAAAAAATTTTTAGAAATTTTTATTCGGAGATATTTGAAAAAAATAAATAAAAAAATAACTTTTTTTTTTTCACTTTTTTTCACTTTTTTTGCATTTTCTCGAAATCTACCGGTCCGAATCGGTTCAAATTTTAAGGAAATCTAAGTTTAGTGAAGCTCTTTCGAATGACACCAACCGCGATGAAATCGGTCAAGTCGTTCAAAAGTTACAAGAGGTTTACACACACACACACACACACACACACACACACACACACACACACACACACACACACACACACACACACACACACACACACACACACATACACACACACACACACACACATACACACACACACACACACACATACACATACAGACGTACGGACATCACCGTAAAAATAGTCAGGGAAGCTTCCTGTGACCTTCCAACGTCGAGATCTGATGAAAACTCGATTTTTGTAAAATGGGGTGAAAACAATAACTTCCCGATTTTTGAAAATCTGAGATTTTTAGCGGGAAGTTAAAAATAAGCATTTGTTATTATTAATTTTCGCTTTATAATAAAAAAGCTAAAAATGAAGAAAGATTTAAATTTGGATTCTTCCTTGCGAATTTGGTTTCCGAATTGCTGCCTAGTTAGGTAGCCAAATTTGGACCAAATGAGGTTTAGATAGTCACCAGCAAGTATCATCATGGTTTCCAAACTGCAACCTAATCAGGAAGCCAAGTTAGGCTGAGCCTCGCAACTGCGTTACATCCCAAACTTCAGTCTGGTTTGGATGCCTCACTTACCGCGTTTGAAATTCGGCATGCCTTACTTGCGCCAAATTACTGCATCACTGAAATTTCTAGTCGGGTTACCTTAAGTGGAAAATTTTCAATTTATTTAGCGGGAAGTTAAAAAGTTTGTATAAAAAATTTTTAAGTTGAATACTGACTTATGTTAACTTAACACTTGTGTTAATGTTTATGTTCGAGTGAGTTAATTTAACACTTTTGAGCGCCAATTCAATGTAATTGAGTTAAATCAATACTTTTATCTGTTGAACAATTTTGGATGAAAATTCCCAAGTTGTTTATCTAAAATTATTTTTTTCCAGATCAAAAAAACTTTTTTCCAACAAAAAAGTTACTGGGACAAAAAATTTGATTTCTTCAGCTAAGAAATAAAATTGATGGAAATTCCCAAACTAATTTCTTGTCACAAAAATACCATTTTTTTCAGTGCACGTGCTAAAGCGATTCAAGTTAAATAGAAGATTGTTTTTTTAAGAAAAGAAGAATTAATGAAATTAATTATTTTTAAAGCACGTGATTTTAACATATTGTCATAAAAGCAATCGAGAGAATCTGAATAGCTTGCGAGACTGAAATACAAAAGGAATAGAAAGGATGGTAGATGGTAGTAGAGAGAAAACTAAACGTGAAACGTTACGGTCCAATTGTAAAAATCGTTGGTTCGCGCAAGC